GGCGTAAAGAAAAAAATCATATTCAAGCATCTATTGATTATGTTGAAAGAATTCCAAATTTTATAATTGAATGGATATATAATAATCAAAAATATATAGTAGTTTCACAAACTTCACCTTCGGATGCATCTAACAAATATTGTAATGTAAGGTTTATAGCTATCTTATTATTTATAATAAATTTGGTCTTGAAGAATTGCATAACACTGCGCAAGTAGAATTGATTAAGAATCATGCATCATGGATACATCGGAATTTTGCTAAAGTTTATAAAATAAGCTTTGAAAGTGACGATTTTAAAGATTTATTATAGTTCTGTATTTATATATTAATTTATAAATTAATAATAAAAATTTTTTTTTCTTTTTTTTTAAGATTCAATATCCAGGAAGAAAACCGCATTTTCTGGAATACTCGTTTTTGGACTACAACTATATGAAGAGCTAATTAAAGCTATACAAAAAAAGAGTCATTCACGGTGTGTCAAACCTCTTAGTGATCTTAGCAATTATTCGTATAGAAATAGAACTAAAAGGGCGGCTAAAAATTTATTCGACGATTTTGAAGCAAAAAAAAATAAAATTTGGAATCCAAAAAATAATCCTAGACTTAAAAAAATAGTATTAGAAGCGGGTAAACAACCATGGGTAGTAAAGTTTGATGAAGATCAACAATTAGAAAAAAAAAAGGCACGAAAAATAGTTCAATCAATGGATCAATCCAATATTTCACGAAGAGGATATAGGGCTCTGACAGTCGCTTCACAAGATTTACCAAAAGAATGGTTAATTAGTAGGGAAAAGCATAAGATTGATGAAATAATGCAAAAGCATATTCCATTATTAGAATATGATATGATACAAATGCAAAATAATGATTCAGATGATTCGGATGAATTAGATGAATTAGATGAATTAGATAGCGAAAAAATTACAAATACATTAGAAAAGGGTGGCTATCGTAATATATCTACAATTCTCCAATTTCTTATACCAAAACTTGTTGCAAAGCAAGTTCTCAATTATGAAACCCCTACAATATACTTGTGGATATCAGGTGACGGAAGAAATGTTGGAAGAAGAATAAAGCATGTAATGGTGACATTAGCAATTTTAAATGATCAAAAAAATCTTATGAAACCTGAAAACCACCATATGATTTCTCTGTTTTCTAGAACAGAAAATTATACATCCCTTAAAATTGCTTTAAAACCAATTCGTCATGAATTGCAACAATTGTGTAACTATGGTTTTACTGATAATAATCAACGACGATGGGATATCAAAATATTTTTTTCATCAGATTGGAAATTTTTGGCGATAATTTTGGGATTTAATGTGGCTAATGCATTTAACTTCTGCCCCTGGTGTCTTTGTACAAAGGATTTGATAGGTGATTTAAGCCAAAATTGGAAAATAACAAAAGAAATGGGTCAAATTAAGGAAAACTATCAAAGTTACCCAGGCCATATTCATCCACCTGTACTAGATATAATTCCTATGACTAATTATGTCATAGATCAACTTCATTTAATGTTATGATTGACTGATCGCTTGTGGGAATTGGCTTTAAATGAATGCAAGAATAATGGACACTTTGTGGATGAAATGAGAGAATTAATATACGAAGAAATGAGTGCTATCGGGGTAACGTTTGATTTCTGCAAAGATAGAGATACAAAATTTTGGAAATTTACTTCGTTAATGGGCCCAGACAAGCTAAAAATCATAGAAAATTTTAATCTAAATATAATGTTACCACCAAAACGTGCCATTAAAGTTCAAAAACTCTGGTTAGGATTTTATGAACTTTACAAAATGTTAAGTCAAAGTGGATTAACAGGAAATCAATTTCGTAATAAAGCTCTTGAATGGTTAGATATGTTCTTAACACCTTCACGAATTATTCCTGGCACTAATACGATAGATAAAGGATTGTATACACCAAGTGATATAACACCCTATATACATGTTCTAATATATCATGTTCCTGAATTTCTTGATATTCATTCACAATGGGGACTTGGCGCATTTTCCTGTCAACCCATTGAAAAAAAAAATCATCAGCACGTATCAACTTTTTTCACAAAGACGTTAAAAGATGGTGGTAAAAATCATTTTCAAAAGTCAGCTATATTGGAAATATTAGAAATGGAAAATAGAGCACTATATTTTTGGAGATTTAACAAAGCATTAACATTGCCTAAGTATAAAAAACTTAATATCATTGGTTCTGACAGAAATGAAGATAGTCATGAAGAATTGAATGTATCATCAAAGAAGCATATAAAGCAGAAGTAATTGAGTTATTGGTGTATTTATTTTTGATTATTGCGCTTTGCAAAATTATGTAACCCCCCATAATTATTAGTTTTATTATAAAATGATTGTTGACAATCGCAATCACAATCATTTTATAATAAAATTAATATTCATGAGGGTTACATAATTTTGAAAGCGCAATAATAAACTGTTAATATACTGCAGTTAAAATGATATTTATATGATTCTTAATAACCTTTTTAGGCAAATTCCACAGAATCAGCAAAGTCAATCAACTGGATGTTATCGCAATAGAAATGCACAATGCAACAGGTTAAATGAACCATTTAGATAATATGATAGTCAGTATTCGAAGAACTTTTCTTGCTAAATCATTCATACTTTATATTACAAAATAAGTATAGTTTCAACATTCAGTTTTTGTATTGAGTCACAAAACCCTAAAATTTGATATCAATATTACATGATCTAAGTTCTTACATTTATAGTTATGTTAGAAATTTTGATTTAGGTCATTGATGTATTAAGAAAGATTGAATAATATATATCGAGTTTAAATTGGCATCATGAGTAATGTGTCGCTTGTTTATCGTGCAAGTATATCATTATATTGTGATCATATTTATTATTACCCCATTTCAAGAATTTACAGATCGTGATTTAAAGTTTTGAATGTATATATAGGAATGACATTCTATCAGTGGGAACCATATATATGTATCAAATAAACAACAATTGAAATAGTAAGCAAAAAAAATATGTTTAAATATATAATAGATTGTCAAATGCTAAGTATTACTTAGCCATTAATTGGTTTTGCCACTTCTAAAAAGAATTTTAATTTATTTTGTCTTGGTGCCATTGATAGGGTTGTTAATGGAGTGCTCCAGTCAATAATAAACATATAACCCACTCCGGAGCACTCCAAAAGCGGGTTATATGTTTTATTATAGTCTGGAGAACTCCATTAACAACCCTAGCCATTGATGTTCATTGATGTTCATTGCTATTCATCACAAAAGTTAATACAAAGTTTATTACGAAGTGAAAAAGATGAACAAAATATTTTACATATGATTTACTCATGTCAAGAAAATTGCCTGTTAATGAAGTATCTGGTCTAATAGTCTTATTTTGGTGACTTACAAGGACCCAGAACCTTATTTGTTCAGCCGGATATCCAAAGCATTTAGCAG